ATGTTTCTCGATGAGCAGACGAGCAGCAAAGATTGCGTCGGTTGTTCCAGAGCCTTTCACGAAACCGCACTGATTGCTGGTTAACGTCACCATTTCGCGTAGCCGTTGGTTGAGGAATCGCTCAAAGATTTTCATGACACATTTTCATGTATGTGATTGCTTGTATGTATGTGAGTGTGATTGATTCTATGTTTGTCAACAAAAAAAGAGCTCATTCTCGAAAAATATGACGGAATTTTCTTGCGTGGTAGATATATGACTCAATGAAAATCAATTCCTGTTTCAGTACTGCTAGAAAGGTAAGGAGCTCATTGCGTTACCTGTTAAGCTGCTGAACAATATCCACTTAACGGATGTATTTTTAGCAATCTCCTTTCGATCGTGACGTAGGCTGATAATTGCTATGTATGCCATAGTCATTTACTAAATTGACTAAAGATCATCGCAATTACTTCAGAAATACGTACACTTGAGTTGGAAGACGAGGAACGATCATGACATCTGGGAACTGGAGGGAGTGGGAAGGCCGTGCGTTGAAGACAGGGCACGTCCCGCCGAAGGGAAGAAGTTCTTGAAAAATACCGCCGCGCCTTCAATTTCCTCTACGGGCACGACTCCCCTCCTTCCCATCCCACCTATCACCTTCCTACTATCCTCCAAAATTCTCCCACTTCTCATTACTTTTCCACAGTCTTACTCAGAAACAACTGCCCTCGAGAAGGTGAGAGAAGGTAGGGAAGTGGGAAGGTAAGGAGGGCATCTGAAACAGGAAAAAGTCAGCAAGTGAGGTAATTTTTTTCACCGGCAAGAACGACCCGTAGCTGAGGATTCCTAGAGAATAAAATGTTCTGTTCTGGGAACAGCATCTTTCACCAGATATTGCGATATCACGCTGGCATTATTGGTGAGATGTATCCACCCGCTACGCACTACTCCACTTCTCCTCACTCTCGATGCGGGTTTGAGTCCCGCCTGGGGCCAGGCCTTGAAGCCATAACTCAGCATTCTTGTGAAATGAGGAGTAGGCTAGAGAAAGAGTTTTTTCATAGCATCTGCGGTTATTTGTGCCTTTGTTTACATTTGTAGCGCGCGACCAAGGAGGCTCTTCTTTCTCCCAGGGCGCTCCCCTTGCCCGTTGCCTGTCTCACAGCCGTTTCGTCACTCACTAGGACGTTTACATTTTACTATTGCACAAGAATGGCTTCCTCGAGATGAGCTCGCTGATCCCAATATGTAGACAGATATGAACCTGCACTTACTCGCTTGGCTTCTTGCCTTGCTCAAAGATCCACGGTGCCGATGCGTTTCACCTTTTTCGACCACTAATCCTTTGATACTGTCTACATATTTGGGCAAGAGTTCTGCACATCACTTCTGGCTAACGTCTTGATGTTATTGCTCGCAGATTCCACTCTTTTCTTGTAGTTTTTGCATGGATAAGGATCGAACTCACGACTCGGCTCAGCACAGATATGAACCTGCACTTACTCGCTTGGCTACTTGCCTTGCTCAAAGATCTCAATGTTCAAACAAAATTTTATTCATACAACGATTACAATTCTCTACTGTTAAACCACTCTTTATATACACATGGAATGCTTAAAGTATCGTATATATAAGAGCCATGATTGTGATGTCACGAAAAAGAAAATAATAAATAATAGATAATAAATAATAAATAATGCATAGTAAAGTGTGGATAAAGCGACTGTGTAGGAGATGGTAAAGTGGCGGCTTAAGCCGTAAGCAACATTTTGAAATTTGTTCCGGTCCTCGCATTGTAAAGAAACACATAATAGATGGATTCAGGAAATAGTGGCGTGGGTTCTAACAGGGATGAACTACGTCTAAGAGGAAGCGGCCTAACTCACTATCATAAACTAGCGGAATTCAATTAGCGCTTAGAAAAAAACTTCAAGAGATGAACTCAATTAGCTTCAGAATAAGTCTGTAGAGTCTCCAGAGCGGGCAGGAAAAGAGGAGCTTAGAGTTCGCATTGAAGGGTCCTATTGAAGGGTCACATGGCAAAAAAAATATTGCAAAAAAAGCATAGCTACGCGCGCCTGCATGTGAAACTTCTAACAATTGCACTGTTGCGTTGGCGGCTTCTGGTTCGTAGTAGCGTCGAGTCGCTGACCTTTTGGTTGCTGCTGAGGGTCCTGAAATGTAAACGATTTTCTAAGTCTCGAGATCCTACATGTGCAGCTATTCCTCACCTTATCAAGGCTTTCAGCCATTTTATTGCAGATTATTTCTACCAACTTCTCGAATACTGCCTTCACGTTGATGTTTTCCTTAGCTGACGTCTCGAAGAATTCAAGGGCTTCACAAAATGTTTCCACATTTCCCCTAAGAATAATGTTCACAAGTCGGTAATTGAAGTGATATTCAGCAATTCATACTCGGCGAACTGTCCACTTTTCGCTCGCCTGTTACCTCGTTTCAGCTGCAGTTTGATCACGCCCCGACAAGCAGACATTTTTTGGGAGCCTGAAAACCATCTCGTGGGCGTCGCGCAGAAAAGCCGTTCTTTATCAAGTTATTTTTGTTTTTTTTTTTTACTAGATAAAGTCTTTGACAAATATTCAAATTGACAAAAGAATGTTGGAGCCAGGAGCGGGAAGTTGTCGCAAGCGTGATAGAGGTTCAGTGGGGTACGCACGAAGCTGCCGAGAGTTCATATATGGGAATAAAAAAATCACGTGTGATGCGAGTCACGTATGCAGGGCAACAGTGTTCGGCAGCCGCAGCGGACAGAGGACGTGACTACGGAGAGTACCAGGGCGGAAGATAGCCCAAGGAGGTTCGCAGACGCTGGCTCTTGCCCCAGAGCAGCTCAATGTATCAGGTCAAAATATGGTAAGTCATCTCCAGCAGTCAGTCTGACTGATAGAAAGGACCTTGAAATTCACGTCCCCCAAAGCACAGCTGGTGCGAAACTTCTAGGTGTGAGAGTCACTAATTGTGATGAGCCTACTGGAGCCAGTACTCTTTCGGAATACCTCCATATCACTGACAGTCCCGCGACAGGACGTCGCTATCGGTCTAGGGACATGGTCATCGTTTTCACCTCAGCCGACCGGAAGGCGCCCAGTGTGATGGTGGGGACGCGGACGTTGACCTGGAAGGGAGGAACCGGGAGGTGTATGTCCTTCGTGCCCCGGGACTGAGCGGGAGCGACTGGCGGGTTACATGCGGAGCAACTCGAAAAATATCCCACATGTCGTCGCCCGTACCTTCTTGGAAACTTTGTACTGCTACAGGATTAGGTGACACCACATGGAATCAAAGGGCGTTGGGAAAACTCTTGCCTACTTGGAATGGAGGGGCGTTGAGTACCTGAGGAAGGTGGAATATTCAAGCAGGTCATCTGACCCAAACCCCCTCAATTACCTGGTTCGGGCGGAGTTCAATAGGGTGGTCTACGGTGGCGAATTCAACTGTCTCGCTGATCTTGGGCACGACATCGCGGTCGCGTGCCAGAAAATCTCTCGATGGCCCTCGTCCGGAAGACTGTGGCGGAGTTGTCATAACAGTATTTTATATGCACTTCAAGATGGTGGTGGAAATGTTCGATTAGAATTTAATAAAGTGTATATAGCGCTTGAAAGTCAAGGAAGAAAAGTCGCGTTCAATTAGCCCCCCTGTTGTAGGGAATCCTTCAACTGAGCTATCAGGGTGTGAAATGGGAGGCAGCGCCCGCGGACCATATGGGGTAATGCTCGAACAGGGCGAAGAGCAATCATTGGGAGATTCCATTACGGGGATCGTGGCTTGTTCTGTAGGGAAAAGGGAATCCGCACCTGGCCTTGGTAGAAATTCTTACGCGTAGGCGGAGACGCACGGGTGCGCTGCTTTAACAATTAAGCAGCTCCAGAATTTGACCGACGATGCTTGCGAAACATGCTAGGAGGGGTTTACTATGCACATGACAACTCGTTCCATAGGTCGTGACACTTTCAGACATTGTCTGGAAAGTCGGCAATATCTTCAATGCATCGGGGGGGCCGTAACTCTCGGTGCAGCGGCGCAACTTGCCATTTTCGGGCCGCTGTGAGCATCACGGAGTAAAGGGGGGGGTGGCGGTGGGCGGGGGAGTTGAACAGTTTAGTGTGAGAGATGCAATGCAGTGTGATTTCGATCACAGGGGGGCCTGCGAGAGAAGGGGGGGTGAAAGTGCCCGATGAAGGTTTCTTATGTGTGTACGATGAATATCTCGCAGAACACTGAAATATCCGCATCCTGAGCCTGGAGCCTCCCATGGGGCGTATTTATCCAACGAAAAAAGCGATCGTTATGCAAGAGAATTCAGCTCTCTGTATCCAGCGAAAGGTAATAGGCAGATCATCCTCCGGGTCTTGATGAGAACTTCTATCCTAATATGTCCCATCTAGTTGAGCGACCTATCGGAGCCTTTTGTCGAGAATGGGGCAATAGGTCGCTGGCGCGCAGCAGCATACGCAAAAGTATTTGGTAACCGTGCGGAATGAAAGCGTAAGTTTTCGCTTTCCGGATTCAGAAGGGTAAGTTCGCTTTCCCGAGTCAGACTGCCACGTCGGGAAGCTTGGACACCGCGGCGGCACGTGGCGAGCAGTTCTAGCCATATTCGTTGGCCGTCGCATATATTCTTGTTCCGTGCGGTGGCGTGGGGATACGTTTTTGAGTGGACAAAGGGAACGGCTGCGGCGGCTACGTCAATCCCTTCTCTATCAATCGCCGAACGGGTAAGCGACAACATTAGGTAGAAAGCGGGCTGGCCCCGTGCCAAACTCAGCCCCAACACGGACAATCACTCGCACGCACAAAACTATACTTCACATGCGGTGACCTCGACGGTACCTCCTCACATGTACCCCTGAGCCGCATCGACTTTCTGTTCTGCAAAGCTCCCCTTCATGAATTGCTCACCCCGGCTGCTGTATTTTCTTCACGACCATACTCATATCATATCTGCGTGCGCTCTTGTCATTCACGACAGCACATAATAAAAATTCAACCAGTCACGCAACCACCCCTTGATTGCGGTCAAATTTGCGGTTCGAAAGAAAGGGTACGCGACCATGACGGATTTTCGCACATTCAATGGGCGGAGCGACGCACGATTCCAATCGACTCGGATGGCTTACAGGGGCAAGTTCGCCGAGCATAACTTCAAGGTGCTTAAAGTGTACCGTACATAGTTGATCGGCGAGTTGTCTGCCTCTTTCTAGAGAAACCACACGTTCAGCGTCCATATCGCACTTATTGCCAACTAGAACCACCTGAGCGTTCTCCCATGAGTATGTTTTGATTTGTGTACACCTGAATTACTCCGAGATCACTTCTTGTACCAAAAAGAGAAAAAACAAACTCGTTAAAGCTTGGAAAATAAAGAAAGGATCTGTTAATGACATCGTTCTGCGTTTGCAATATTCAGCAGAAATTTGATATGTTAGCGCGAAAATGGAAAACGACACCATCGAAGCGGCTACATCGGCTTTCATGAACACTCACCAGTCCTGCACACTGTTGAAGGACTCTTCATTAGTGATGTCATACATGAGAATAAACCCCATTGCACCACGGTAGTAGGCGGTGGTGATGGTCCTATAGCGTTCTTGCCCTGCTGTGTCCTGCAAATCGTTCCGATTACTATAATTCCACATTAAATATATTAAATCAAATGTATTAAAGGATAAAAGGGTAATGTTTTGGTGCTGATTGACCTTTTCGGTATATTTCAGGCACTCCGCTGGAAATTCAGAATTGTAATGATTGTAGATGTGGTTTTTGAGCAGTTCAGCTTACACAAGCTTGCGGAGACCAGCTGATGAACAGTGTTTCATCCTTAAACACGCGTGCGCTAAGAAATAACCGACATTGGAAAGAGCAAGGACT